ACATGTGGCAGAACCAGACGGGCATATCGAGTGGGCAGACCCAAGCGGGCGGGTCGGGAAGGCGGGCCCAGGCGGCCAGGTCGAGCAGGCGGGCTGCTGAAGCATGAGTCCCGCATGGATCGCGATGAAGTCTCGAGCGACAGCGCGATGCCAAGATACATCGTGAAAAGGGCCAAAGCGAGAGAAATATTCATGAGTGTCGAGGGCATGGCGTCTGAATGCATTGCGAGGAATTCTCACGCGAGTGCGCGGTTCCTGCATACATTGTGAGGGAGTCGCGCGCGAGACCGCGATGCTTGCAATACATTGTGAGGAATTCTATGGCGGGAGTTGTTGTTGTTGCTGTTGCAGATCGGGAGCCAAGGGCCGAAATTTACATTCAAGACTCTCCCTGACAAAAAACAGGGTGCGAGCCCTGGGACTGGCACGTCAAGTGGAAAGATACAGTGTGCGCCGGAGGGGGGAGTTGTTCCCTACCTGCCGCGTGTACTTGGTCCAGCTCCGTAAACAAAGGGGGCTGAGAACGGATGGAAAGGGAAGGGAGAAGGATGGACCGCGGGAAAGATTAGCAGGAAGGGGGGTAGGAGCAGAAAACACGTGGCGGAACCAGACCAGCTGATCGGGCGGGTACACCCTAGAGGGCGGGTCGGACAACGGGCCAAGGCGGCCAGGTCGAGCAGGCGGGTTCTGCATGAATTGCGAGGAAGTCTCGAGCGATAGCGCGATTTCGAAGGAAGTCGTGTGAAAGGCCAAAGCGAGAGCGTGATTCCTGAATGACGAGGGCGCGGCGTCTGAATACATCGCAGGGCAGGCCAACGCGAGAGCGCGATTCCTGCATCCATTGTGAGGAAATCCCGCGCGAGAACACGATTGGGGAATGATTGTGAAAAATGATCAGGAAGGAACTATCATTGTTGCAACTGGAGGGGGGGCAACAGCGCAGATTGAGCAGGAAAAGTGTAAATGATATAGCGTGCGCGCCCCGAAGGGGGCACTTCAATTGAAAAACGCAATGTGCGCCGGTGATGAAGAATCCACAATATTTCCAAACCATCCTGTGGTGTTGGGTCTTCAATTTGAAGAGACCGTCCAGCATCTACCTCACTCCTTCTTCCTCCCTCCCTCCCTCCCCCCTCCTCCGCCGTCATCATCACCAGCACCATCACCATCAACATCACCATCATTATCATTATCATCACCATCACCATCATCATCATCATCGGGCTGCCTAGGATTGAGGGGTCGCCCGCGCCCCCCTGCATGACTTCAACAGCTGAAACAAGATCCGGAAGGAAATGCCATTGCGGCCAAGGGTGGCCCAGAAGTCCAGCGGCAGATTGTCAGGTCCACCTGCTTTTCCCCATTCGCAGTCGCGAGAGAATGGTCTTCAAAGCCTACTGAGAGAGCTCCCAGGTCAGAATGTCCATCACCGGACCCAATCGAGGCTCGGATGGCACGCCTCCTCCCATGCACCAGGACTTTTTTCATTGCGCATCCTGGAAGTAAGTCGCCAAGGTTTCAGCCCTGTCACTGGAATCCACGAGGTGGCCATCTACGCTATATAGTCGACCCTGCTGTCGGCGCGAAATTCCAAGCCGCAAGCGCTTCATTGCAGACCAATCGTTATCCGCGAGGCGTTTCTCTAGCCATTTTGCTCGGTCTCGTTTGGCAGCGGTTTTGATCTGTCTGTTCAGAGAAGCTTCTAGCACGAATTGCACCTGAGCCCGAGCAGTGTTCCGCTGCTCGGCGAGGTCAACGGTCAAAGGGTGGCTGTTCGAATCCACGGCCGTTTCGCGATAACGGGTCTGACTGGAAGGGTGCTTTCTGCAGCGGCCTCCCTGGCACCTCTCACAGTCTCCGCCATCGAATTCGCATGCTGGTTTGCAGCTCTGCGCAGAAGGCCCAGGCACCCTCCGAGAAACGCGTGCAGAAGTGCTCCACGATAGAATGTGACTTCAAACTCTTGATGTCGCGCATGTCCTTCCGCATCTTGGGCGGCTGCTCCCCGATCTCCGCAGCGGTGCCAACGAGAACAAGAGAACGATGATATTGTAATGCGATGCCCGTCCCCCTCTCCTGCGCGTCTCCTGTGTACCCTGCTATTCGTACCACCGAGAACCATGACTGGCCCATGTGTTTTCGCTTCCCGGGCTCGAGCTCGCGAAAGAAACACTCCGCCGCTCGTCTCTTGGGCGGCCATTGTGGGGAACATCTCCGGTAATGATGCTCATCTGGCCCCCCTCGACTCCGATCTGCAGCGTGCAGGGCAAATTTTAATACATAGGATTTTCTAACATTTGGAATGTTAAGACATGACTCATTTATGACTCATGTATGAATAAGTTGATGCATGAACTCATCGTTGTTTTTGGTATCAAATCCCTGCATTTTCAATGCATGATCCGCACGCGGAGCGTGTATTAAAAACGGCACTGTAGCGATGCGTTAGCTTTGCTGCGAACACAACTCAGCATGGAGTGGCGGGGACCCGCGGGGACACCCCCAAAAAAAAAATCCGGGGTGCTCCCTGCCGTTCTCGACGCCCCCAGGACAACATTGAAGGGGCCCTGGGAAACACAAATAAATACACACAAACAAGATTCCCCATCTTTTCGCATATTTTCTTGGGTTTTGCCTTCCCCCCCACTTCCCATAGTTTCCCATATTTTCCTGGGAGGGGACGATTCATTGTGTCTGTGTGTTTTTCCCCTCCTGAAACATCACAGAGAAGTCACCGAGCTCCCTATGGGGCCACGAAGCACGTGAGGGGTGTGCCGACATGACGGGCATGCGGAGGGCCGAAGCATTGGTAGGAGGAGGGAGGGAGGCGGAAGGAGGAGTGAGGAGTGAGGAACGCTGAATTCCCTCTTTCAAAACGAGGGCCCAACACCACAAGCTGGTTGGGAAACATACCGATGCCGCTACTCCCCAGACCTCTCCCAGGATGCTTTCTGATGACGAGACGGTTCGAGGCGAACCCAGCGGTGGCGACGAGGGCCTCCCAAGAGCCTACAAACGGCGAGCACGAGGCAAGGGTTGTGATACGGTAAACCTTTACTAGAACAAAAAAATATACCGCGCGGATTTCTCGGATTCGCGCTGGACCCCCTCCCTGGCGCGCGGAGCGCGCCAGCGGCGGCGCCAAGGGCGGCGCCGGAGGCGCCGCGGAGGGGGCCCAGGCGCGGATCCAAGAAATCCGCGCGGAGCGCCAAAAGTTTATTTGTTGCGTGGTTTCTCTTCTTCGAATATCGGTACTCCAGATTTCGTAATAAAAGGGAGGGGGTCTCAACCCTCCCAGACGACAAGTTTTAGACCCCCCCCCCTGGGAGAACCCTCCAAAACATCGTCCCCAGACCCCCCCAGGCCCTCCAAGATAGCTTGGAAGAGACCCCCCACCGAAATGAGACCCCCCTCCCTTTCTTACGAAATCTGGAGTACCTTTGCCTGCTCTGACGCTCCTCCCTGCCGCGCGTCGCTGCCCCGCCGCCGCCCGCGCGCGACCGCGGCGGGGCAGGGCTGCGGCGGACGCCCTCCGTGTGGAGGCGGGGCGCCGAGGGGCGGCGGCGCCCTGCCGCGGTCCTCGCCCCCCCCGGCCCTCGTGAGACGGGCGCGGCGCGTGATAGAACGACGCGAGGATCGGGACAAAATCGGATCGGGATAACTCGAGATCTCTGAGAATCGGCGGGCTTGGAGGATGTATTGGGCGCCGCGGCCGCTCCAGAGCGTTCCGGAGCGCTCTGAGAGCGCTCCGGAACGCTCTGAGAGCGCTCTGGAACGCTCTGGAACGCTCTGGAGCGCTCCGGAACGCCCTGTTTTACGTGACCCGCACGGTGGGCCTCCAAACGGCAGGGATGCTGCAGGCCGCGCCGCGGCTGCGCCCAGTGTTAGGTCGGGCGGTGTCCTCGTACAAGGGGATGTTGGGCGAAAAGCGAAACATCGCCCCGAAAGATCCATAAGACATTCAAACAAATCGTCCCAGACAGTGTTTTGAGTATTTTTGGAGATTCCTCCTGTAAAATAGATGCCCGACTTATGCTCCAGTGATGGGGGAACGGAAGGTGCCGATGCCGCTGCGCCCTGAGCCGCGCCAGGAGCGCTCGCTCTGCCGGGAGGCCCCGAGGGGCGTCTGGCCGCGACGCCGAGGGCCGCCCAGAAGCCCCCCACGAGGCCAAAGCGGACCACGGGCGGCTGGCAGGGGTACAACTTGGGGGCACAATGGTGATGATGCTGCTGCTGATGATGATGGTGAAGGACGACGATGACGATGATGATGATGATGATGATGATGATGATGATGATGATGATGATGATGGTGATGGTGATGGTGATGGTGATGCTGCTGCTGCTGCTGATGATGATGATGATGATGATGATGATGATGCTGATGATGATGATGATGATGATTATGGTGGCGATGATGATGATGATGCTGATGACGATGATGAGAATATTGATGGTTGATGATTGATGATGATGGTGATGATGGTTGATGGTTGGTGGTTGATGATTATGATGATGATGGTTGATAATTGGTGGTGGTTGGTGATTGATGAGTGGTGAGGATGGTGCTTGATGATCGATGATGCGGATGATGATGGTTGGTGGCTGATGATTGATGATGCTTGATGATTGACGAGTGATGATGATGATGCTGATGATGATGATGATGATGATGATGATGATGATGCGGAGGAGGCGGAGGAGGAGGAGGAAGAGGAGGAGGAGGAGGGGCAGGGGCAGGCGTCCGTACATCTTGGCCCTCCGACGCGCGCCCGAGGGCGGGGCGCGGCCGCGCCGCGCCGCGCCGCGCTCGCGCCGCGCCGCGGCCCTCGCAGCCGCCGCGCAGGCCCGCTGCGGCCCGTGCGCACCGCGCCGAGCGGCCCGCGCCCGCGCGCGCCGCCCGCGCCGGGCGGCCCGCGCGGCGCGCGCGCGCGGCGAGCCCGGCCTGGGCGGCCGAGCGCGGGGCCCCGCCTTGGGCGGGGGCCGGGCGTCACGGGGCGTCACCCGCCCTGGGCGATGGCGTCGCCCCGCAGGCTGTGCCTGCGGGCGTCGCCCTCGCTGACTCGCTCGCGCTTTCCCTCTCTGCGTCTCTCTCTCTCTCTTTCTCTCTCCCCCCTCTCCCTCCCTCTCTCTCTACGTCTCTCTCTCTCTCTCTCTTCCTCTCTACGTCTCTCTCTCTCTCTCCCGCTCCCTCTCTCCCTCATTACATCTCTCACTCTCTCTCTCTCTATCCCTCCCTCGCTTCCGTCCCTCTGTACGTCTCTCTCTCTCTCTCCCTCTCTCCCTCCCCCTCTCCCTTCACGATTGCACATGACCCGTCGGTCGGAAGAAGCAGGTTGAAGCGTGAAGTAGGAAGGCGCTGCAAGTAGATTGGGCTTCCGCCAGCCCCCTGAAGAGGAGGAAAGAGGGGAATTAACTCGATCATTGAAGTCGGAAGGCGCCTACAGTAGATTGGGACTTGGGCTTCTAACAATACATATTTCCAACGACCGTTTTGTGACAATTACCTATTATGTGAAATAGATTATCCCCTGATTCTTTCCAGAATATCCCAGGCCCTTTCTACGTACTGATGCACTACACTCAGGAACATGTAAATTGATAATCCTACATGCTTTTACAATCCGATTGTTGAGGGCGTTTCAAAAAAGTGTTCCCGCTGCGTGGACCTTGTTTTTGGATCGTCGCATTGCTCCCGTCGTTCAGAATGGCGCTCTCGCCCCAGCGCGGGCCATTATTCTGGATCCAAATCCTTTGTTTTCGTTGTCGCCCCCTCCTCATTTCCCCTCCTCTACCTTTCCCTGGTCCTCCTGGTCCTCACGCTCCTTCCACTCCAACTCCTGAAGCTGCTGTTCGTCCTCGTCCTCCTCCTTCATCATTTTCCTTGCCCTCCTGCTCATCCTTCTGACCAGCCGCCACCTCAGAGTTCCTATATATGCAACACCCCTTTTCCGATTGCGAATAACACGATGGTGTCTTTTTTTGAGTTCCGGGTCGGCTATTGCACGCGTCCGCAGATAGAGGCAAATCATCGCAATGGGAAGGCATGGGAGGGAGGGAAGAATTGAACGTGAAATGTGGCACGAACGCACCTAGCTTGATATGAATACGACTCTCCTCTCTCCCCTGAAGTTTCGGAAAATATCTCTGTCCCTCCGCGCACACAAAATTTGAAACATTGAAAATGATTTTCTGTTCACAGCTTGATTGCTTCCGCTTCTGTCGCACAAATGGTAATCCTGCCGCAGCGTGAGCCACATGCTCCCTATCGGCGCTTTGCCCACGCCGTTCAGAATGGCGCTCTCACCCCAGCCTGGGTCACTTCTCCATATCCCGCGAGCCTCGCAGGTCCCACATGTCTCGCAAGTCTCGCAGGCCCCACAAAAGGTCCCACAGAGGTGGCACAAGCATCACAGGTCTGAGAGGCTCCGCAGGTCCCACGCGTGGTCGTAGGTCTCACTGGTCCCACAGGTTCCACCGGTCCGACAGGTCGCGCAAGTCCCACGCCTGCCCCACAAGCTACAAGGGCCCCTCGGGTCGCACAAATCACACACGTCCCGCGGGTCCAAAATTTCCGCTTGCCCCAAAAAGGTCCTACAAGTCCCGCAGGTCCCGCGGGCCACATGAATCTCGCATGTCCCACAGGCCCCACAGATCGCACAAGTCCCACAGTTCCCACCTGCCTCACAGGTCCCACAGGTCACCTTTGCTGCTACTAGGGTGCGCTGCAAGGGTAATGGAGTTCCAGGCGGGCTATGGCGTGCGTCAACGGATAGAGGACAAATCAAGGCAATGGGATGGGAGGGAGGGATCGGATGTCAGATGTGGCGCGAGCGCACCTAGCTTGCCCTCCCTTCCACTCTTTCTCCCTCACGCTCTCTCTCTCTCTCTCTCATTCTCTTTTTCTCTCTATCCCTCCTTCATTTTTTTTTTTGTTTCTCTCTCTCTCTCTCGTTCTCCGCCTCTCTCTCTCTCTGACTCTCTCCTCGACGCTATGCCAAGCACTCAAGTTCGCCCAGCGTACAAAAGACGGGCAACGCTGCGGGAACTTACCGCGCCGCGCACAACTTCGGATCCCGCCGGCCCTCTGGGCTTAGGGCATTTCGGAACGCTTCCGCGTGCGCGCCGCGCACCTGAGGCGGCTGGAGCATATGGCACACGCGGAACACATGTGAGCATCGCTCAACCGACCCCCATCCCCACGGGCATGGCCTGGGCCACACAGGCCGATTTACCCCCGTAGACGGGGATATTGAGATGGTGGGTGTCTGGGTAGGGATGGAGATGGGGATAGGGGTTGGTTGAACGATACTGAACATGGGGCCGTGGCGCGCATGTGGCGCGCCCGGCAAGCTAGGGTTAGGTCGGCCTGTACCCCGACAAGGGGATTTTGTGCGAAAACGTAACAATAGTCAAAACATGTTCAAACATGCTCAAAAATAGTGAAAGATCGCCCCCGCACTATATTTTTACTATTTTTGCATATCCCCCTGAAAGGGGGGCAGGCCCGACTTAAGCTTAGGGGCCGTTGGGGCACCTGGCGCATCTGGAACGCGCGGTGCTCCGGGCTCGCGTGGCGCACCTCACGAGCGTCGCGCACCTGGCGCCTGCAATGGTTCCCAATGGCCGCCCATCCGGTGGCGCCTTTCGCCTTGGCCGGGCGCCTGGTTGCATTCGATGCGGAAGCTGGGCGAGGGCTGGCAAATCCGTGGCTGCTGAAACGGTCTCCCTGGAAAACATGCACAAATTCACGGAAACAGGCTCAGCGCACTGAGTAGTAAACGGGCTGCTTCCCGGATGCGGATGCGGATGCGGGTGCGGCCTGCGTCGGGGCGCCGCGGGGGCGCTGCAAGGGGGCGCAGGGGCGCCGCGAAAGGATGACAAGGTGAAACAATGGAGGGTGAAACAGGGGATGGGGTAGAGATAGGAATAGACAGGAAAACGGCACATAATACTACAATGTGTGTGGTCTATACAACAATACGCCACTCACTGCTCAACGAAACCTGGCCTCAATATGTGCCGCTCCTCTGCTGCTGCAAGTGCCAAATAACTCCGTCGGGGTTGTTGGTGGGTCAGAGCCGTTTGTTGCGCGCGTCACAGCACATCATCCCACCATCGTGTTTTCGGTCGTCCAACCCGTCGTTGCGTCTGTGTCTGCGCATCCCGTTCAGGATCCCACCGTGAAATTGCTCGCGCCCGCTCCGTTGTCATACTCGTGGCAACCTGGCGGACCCAATCCTAGTTACTATGCAGGATGAAGGTATTCCAATCAATAATGTTTCTTGACATGGGATTATCTTCGTACCGTGTTGCACGTGTGATCCATTCCCACCGGGGTCCCAGAAGATCCTCATCCGCCTCTTGGTCTGGGAAGTATCTCGCTGAAAGTGGCGACGGTGGCGCGCTATCCACATCTTTTCCACTGTCGGAATTAGAGCCGTCAAACTTGTCTTTGTCGTTTCCGGAATATGTGTTGTTGCGGGGGCTGTTGTCGGATTGGTGTTGCTCTTGTCGCGTTGTTCCGGCCGTCTTCTTTATTGGCGTCTTGACGATCATGCGGGGTATTTGCCGTTGGGTTCGCCGGATGGAATTCGATAGCTCGTCTTTCACCGCTCACGCCTCGCACCCGTGCAGAATTGTCAGTGTGATTGTCCCGTGGAATAATCGGATACGGTAGTTCATGGAGTAGTGGGAGCCTGCGAGCTCCTGCTTAATCGAATGGAGCCTTCACCATTCAGAAACAAGTATGTGTTCCACACCTGTCTTGTGGCTGTCGCCGAATTGCAATCTGCGCCCCAAAAAACTTGGTTGCGCGGAGCGGCCGGATCACCTCGACCTCCATCCCGTGAAAGAAGACGTGCGTCGATGGTTGTCGTGCTCGTTTTGGCCTGTCTGTGCCCGTTGTGCAGGATCTTGGTCTTGTCTGGGTGTGAGCGCAACCTGGCAGCTTCTGGTTCATTGCTGAGGACGGAACGAATGTGCGCGATGTCGTTGGTCGACCGTGCAATTAGGGCGCGACGCGACGCGTGACGCTGTCAAACGCCTTCTTGAAGTCAATTGCAAAGCCCAGAATGGAACTTGCCATTCGTCACTAATTTCCATTAAAACCGCTGTCGTAAATCAGTGGTCGGTTGTACGGTTGGGTCTGAAGCTAGCTTGGTCGGGACTCTGCTGGTGGTCGAGAGTAGCGCAGAAGCAATTGTGCAGCAAGTGGGGGGATACTTTGTAGAGCATCGGAATAGTTGCGATAGGTCGATCATTTTCAGGGCGCATTGGGCCATCACTCGTGTGCAGTACCTTGATGACTGTGTGTTTCCGGGTGGAAGGTACCTTGATGACTGTGTGTTTCCGGGTGGAAGGCGTGGGTGAGTCACGACGCAGTATGTCATTGAATGTCCATCATGACTCGTTTGAATTTGTTCCCACCTTTCAACATCTCTCTGCCGAAATGCCGCTTATGTCTGGTGATCGGGTTGGTCTTCCATTGCAGTAGTGCGACTGATAGTTCGCTATCGGCGAACGGAGGGATCAACTCTGCGTCGTTCTGTTCGTGCTGTTGGTCTGTGCCCTTGTCGGCGTCGTGATACAAATCCTCGTAACAATCTGCAAGCACGTCAGCTATGAAACGTCTGTCGCGCTGCGTGTTGCCGTCGGCGTCGGTCATGCCAAACATCATGTCACGTTGCTTGTAACTCTTCACTCCACGGGTTCGTGTCAGATCCAGGCATTGAAAGAGGATCTTATCGACCGCACTTATGCGAGAGGCTTGTTTGATAACTCGCATTTCTTTGCGTATTGTTTTGTTGAAGACGGCTCGAGCTGAAGTGTCGGTAAGTGCTGTGCTCCGTCTGTCTTGGAAGAATCGTGCAATCGTCGTCGGTGGAGCGTTTGGCGCGTCGGTCTGCTCGCGCGGCGGCTGCCCCAGCAGCGCGTTGGCGGTGCCCGGGCAATCGAAAAGTGCATCGTGGCACTTTGTGGTCGGATCCAAGGTCTATGTCCTGAGTCGCCTCGCAGTCGGTCGCTGCGCGCCAGAGAAGTCTGCTAGCCAAAACGAAGTCGATCTGGTGCTGCTGCCGTTGAGGGGAAGAGTTCGTCGTCAACTCCATCGTCTGCTTATGGGAACATGTGTTTCTAATGCGTAATCGCTCGTTTGCCGCCCAATTTTTACACCACTGGCCACGCGCATTGCCCAAGAGTGCGTTCGTCATCTTCAAGTTCACGCTGCCCCACGCGAGCATTGCAATCCGCATCTATAACATGAGCAAACCAGTGTAGCAGCACGCCGGGGGGGTTCTACCAGGATGTTGTACATTGTCTGAACGCTCTTGTCGCCGCAGCCACTGTACGGGAAATGCGCTAAAACAGTTCGCAATCTTAAGTTTAATGTAGCAGCGTCAACGTAGTATACTCGTTCATTGACTGGCTGGAAGCAGCGAATATGTCGAGCCCACCGCTTGTGCACTAGAATGGCTACCCCGCCGCGTGACCCATCCCATCAAGATCCCAAAAAGATGTGTAAGGTGTGGACCAGCACTCTTGCCGTTCCTGTCGCCACGTCTCGTCGAATGTGACAAAATCCCATTGGGCATTGCGGAATTACTGTAGGAGCTCCTCTGTGCGGTCGCCGGACGCAGGCCCCCGAACACTTTTGTGATACAGTGTACATATGGTTTTGAATGTCGTGTCGGCGCCAGATTTTGGGACCTTTGGCGCAAGAGTCCGAATTTGTGACAATATGCATGGTGAACCCTTGACGTCGTAGCCGGAGATGGAATGGAGAATCGTCAGATCAACACGATATTGGAAATCACTAGCCTTTATGCAGGGCTAGATGGCACGAAAGGTTGGGTGAAACGTCGCCTGAATCAACATCCTCTGGCACGGGAGCCGGGAGTGGCCGGGGCGAGTACGAAAGGTGCGGGAGGTGAGAGCTGGAGCCGGAGACCAATACATGCTCATGACGCTGGGGTCGGAAACCCATTGCGTCGGAGCTGGACTCGGGAGTCGGCGTCGGTCTGGAGATGGCCAAGTTGCCGTCGCTGGAGGGTGGTACCTGGTCGAATGCGTCGTCGGAAGATGGAGTAGACGTACAAGCCACCTGTTCGCCTTCGTTGATGTCGATTTGTGCCCTGGGGCGGAAGACCTCTTGTCAAATTGAACGGAACAAACCTCAACCAGAGTGGAACATCCCCGGGAATATTCGAAAACTTCCCCCTACCACCTCCTGCGTCAAGAACAGACGGAAACACTATTGTTGCAAAACCTGGCATCCCTTGGTTTTCGGCTGAATCGACATGCAACAATCCAACATCAGATCGAATGTGGTTGCTTCCGGGTTGGGAACGGGATCCAGGGTTGGAGTTGGAGCCAGGTGCCGGAGTAGATACTGAAATGCCCTGGTTTGGCACTGTAGCCGTCGGCACTGATGTCGGTGATGACGCGGTAGGTGCAATAGTGTCCTGCTGGTCGAACTCGGGGTACCATGCGGTCGTGTGGCGAAAAACTTCCTGGGACGACATGCTGGGAATCCTGAAGAATAGCGGAACATCTCCGGGAATTGTCACGCACTTCCCCCTACCACCACCTGCAGCACGTGCTGTTTGGAGCGCCGTGGAGATGGATTCTGTGGAACCGCCGTTGTTTCTACCAGCATTCAACTCGAAAACCCACTATCGAATGCTGCTGACCATGTAGGTGCCGAATTTGTTATAGTACCGTCACTCGCTTTTTCCGGCTGGTTATGGATTTACTTTTAGCCTCCACTTCCGCATGGATTCTTCCACCTGTGCTTCCACCAACTTCCCGGATGCAGTTTTCTGCCACTCACCCCTTTCATCATACCACGCTATTTTCCTCTCCTTCCCCGTCCCATCCTTGATTACTATCATACCCCTCGGCCATACAAGATTCACCTCCGTAGGTGTGTAGTTGGGGTGTCTCTTTAGATTGTATTTTGTATATCCAATTAGTTGTTCTCGTTCCCGTTCGTCCTTAGTCGAATTGTTCTGGAAGAGTATGTCGCCGAATGCTTCTTCGTCTGAGTTTAGTTTGTCGCGTACCTTTTTCCAGAAGTTGACCTTCGCCTGCAGAGTGGAGAACTCAATAATACCAAATTTGGCAGGGTCGGTGGTAGTCTTCACAATTGTCGTAGGATCGTTGCCGATGATATTGCTGAGCTTCTCCTTCAGCTCGTTTACCACGGTCGGAGCCGGCGTGTTCCCGTCGAAGCCGAAGGCAACCACCTGCCTTCTGCGCAACTCCTTCTGGGTTTCCTCTTTGCCTCCTCCTCCTCCTTTCCCTCCTCCTGCTTGCTCCGTTCCTTGAGACGCACTGCCCCTGGATGAAACATTGTAACTGTTTAAGTCAGCCTTCATCGCCTGAATGTAGGTTTTGACATCTTTTACTATATTTATCATCTCCTTCCCGACCTCCTCTACTGCTTGTTAGGCTACGTTCGCGGCCAACTTCGCTTGACGTGCGATGTCCTTTGTTACCTGTGCCTCCTTCGTTTCCTGTGTAGCCATCCAGATACCTTCCATCATGTTCATCGACATCTTCATCATGTACTTCATATGTTCCTCCTCATCCTCCTCACCTTCCGCTTCCATGTCCATATCGTCTGGCACTTTCTCCTCTTATCCTTCTCCTTCGTTTCTTCGTCCGCCTTTCATTTCTCATCTGTCGATGTCGATCCCGTGCTTGTCTGAGCCTTATTTTTCCCACCTTTCTCCATGATCGATAGAATGAGCTTCGTCCGCGAGTGGGTCGCACAAGTGAGAAGAACACAATATCGTGACACGCAGTGATGAGAGATGCGAGGCGGTTTGAGCCAGCCAATCCTTGAGTCGGAACTCCGTTTTAGCAGCCACGGGTTTGCCAAGCTTCGCCTGGTTTCTGAGCCCCTCTGGTTGCATTGGATTCTCGTTCTGGCCCGCGACAGATTCAATCCAGTGATCGCTGCATCACTCTTGCTGCCGCACATGATGCGATTCGCTGACTCATTCTCGCACGCGCTGTTCCGAACACAAATATACTGCAAGTGGGGAAGGGCTCTTCTGGGGCTGGATCGGTGCGCCAATGCACACAAGAACTCCCTCGGGCCCACGCGCTTCCCACAGCTTGTCACGGCTGCTGCGAGGGCGGCAATCACTCCTCCCCCGACGAGCGAAAAACGCTTGAGATGAGCACGCGCGAGCGAACAATACGTTTGCTATGATAAGACAAGCCCGCACTCGCCACAGTGAGCCCAGACAACGCGAGCGACCCTTTTGCGAGAGAGCGCAAGCTTGCAGCCGAACCAACGGTGGGCACGGAGCGCGATACAACAGCATAGCGCTTCAATGTCACAATGCACGTTCTCGGTTCCTGACTCGGCGTTTCGACATTGGGCGTAAGGGGGGCGAGGGGGTGGGGGTCAGGCGACTGGTTGCAACAGTGCGTCCGATGGGGCAGACTGCATCTGCTCGACACAGGCGCCAAAAACAGCCAAGATCTACTCCGTCGAGAGGGGGGAGGGGGGTGCGAATGCCTGCGCCGATCGGCGAAACAACGAATACGAAAACGATCACATGTTATCCGTAAGGGCTTCGCCCCCTGCCGCCGGCCCCCTCTCTCGGAGAATGGTCCATGGAAGAGCTAAGTCATGAGGCCTTGGCGCTGTCGTGAAGCAGTATCGAAACTTCATGCGAAGCCGAGTCGCAATCAGCAAAACCAACTGATCACAAGAAGGGTTACCACACCTGGCGATTGGTAAGACGTGTATGGTTTAAGGGCTTGGTTACCACACCTTGCGATTAAAGGGCCGAGGGAGTTCTCGCAGTTTGGGTTACCACGCCTTGCGATGGATGTGCGTGATGGGTTCGAATTTCAGAAATGTGGCAAATCCAATGTGTTTTTGGACCCTGACCCCGCGGATCTGCGTGAGGGGTGGCACCGAATTTCAGAAATGTGGCAAATCCCCTTGTGTTTTTGGACCCTGACCCCGCGGATCTGCGTGAGGGGTGGCACCGAATTTCAGAAATGTGGCAAATCCCATGTGTTTTTGGACCCTGACCCCGCGGATCTGCGTGAGGGGTGGCACCGAATTTCAGAAATGTGGCAAATCCCATGTGTTTTTGGACCCTGACCCCGCGGATCTGCGTGAGGGGTGGCACCGAATTTCAGAAATGTGGCAAATCCCATGTGTTTTTGGACCCTGACCCCGCGGATCTGCGTGAGGGGTGGCACCGAATTTCAGAAATGTGGCAAATCCTATGTGTTTTTGGACCCTGACCCCGCGGATCTGCGTGAGGGGTGGCACCGAATTTCAGAAATGTGGCAAATCCCATGTGTTTTTGGACCCTGACCCCGCGGATCTGCGTGAGGGGTGGCACCGAATTTCAGAAATGTGGCAAATCCCATGTGTTTTTGGACCCTGACCCCGCGGATCTGCGTGAGGGGTGGCACCGAATTTCAGAAATGTGGCAAATCCCATGTGTTTTTGGACCCTGACCCCGCGGATCTGCGTGAGGGGTGGCACCGAATTTCAGAAATGTGGCAAATCCCATGTGTTTTTGGACCCTGACCCCGCGGATCTGCGTGAGGGGTGGCACCGAATTTCAGAAATGTGGCAAATCCCATGTGTTTTTGGACCCTGACCCCGCGGATCTGCGTGAGGGGTGGCACCGAATTTCAGAAATGTGGCAAATCCCATGTGTTTTTGGACCCTGACCCCGCGGATCTGCGTGAGGGGTGTCGATTTCGAGCCCCCCAGCAATTCAGACAACGCGCCCAGGTGAGGCTAAAAATCCTGTTTGGGCCTCCCCCCCCTCGCGCGGTCAATCAACTAGTTGCAGTAACCAGCAAGAAGTCAACTAGTTACAGTAACCAGCAAGAAGCAGAACTGTAACACTGGAAACTACAACCTACGACTGGTACAGGAAACTGCGAATCACGTGCCTACAGCCTGGTGGCCCCACAAGGGGGCCGGCGGATTTCTGATATTGCTCTTGCTTGGCGTTGTTATGTTGCATCCTCGCAGGACCTTGTCTGTCCCGTCGCGGCCCTATCCGCGTCGAATCCGTGTCGCATCCATGTCGGACCCGTCGAATCCGTGCCGAATCCGTGTCGGATTCGCGTCGGATCTACGCCAAATCCGCGTCGAGTCCACATCGAGCTCGCGTCGGGCACGAATTTTGGGGACAGGCGAGGTCCCCGGAAGATGCGACGTCGGCATTGAATGATGGGCAACATCTTCCACCACCACTACCACATGTAGGACGGAGGGGAAGGAAGGAGGAACTCCTCCTCCTCCTCCTCCTCCTCCTCCTCCTCCTCCCTCTTCTGCCCCTGGTAGTGGTGGTGGAAGACCCACCATTGGAACTGCGAGAACGACAGGGCTTTCAGGGGCGCCGCCTTGGGTCGGGAGCCCTCGCACGCGCCTTCTGCACGTCCATTCGGATCGGGCACGTCCTCTTCCTACAGGGGGACTTTGGAAGATTTCACTCAATGCCAGACAACGACCCAGCAATAGCCCAAAAAGCACGAAACATCGCCAACTGACGATTTGTTTACCATGCTTGCATTTTCCTCCTGCAGAGGGACGTGCCCGACTTACGCGTCCATCGTCGTCGACGCCGCCGTCCACGGTCGCGGTCGTCGCCGCCGTCGACGCTGCCGCCGTCCCGACCTGTGCCGCGACCGCACCTGCACGAACTCCGGCGCGGGCGCCCCCGCCGCCTCCTCCAGCGCGTCGAGCGCCTGGGCCCAGGCTGCCCACACCCCCCCTCGGGAGGTGCCAGGAGGAGGAGGAGGAGGAGGAGGAGGAGGAGGAGGAGGAGGAGGAGGACGAGGAGAACGACGAAGATGAGGATGAGGATGAGGATGAGGATGGGGATGAGGAGGAGGAGGAGGAGGAGGAGGAAGAGGAGGATGTGGAGGAGGAGAAAGGCCCAGGGTGCCCATTCATGTTCTTGCGCCCTCCTGGAGCCCCTTTTCAGGGGCCCTCTGGGGATCGCGAGGGGTGCGCTCTGGAAGCTACGCAGGCCCCCAAGGAAATCCTGACGACACCCTGGGCCAGGGACACCCTTGGCAACACTCGACCCGCCCCCGCGCCCCGCCTCCCCAATCCATGCCGCGCCACCCTCCCAGGAAGGAGCGAGGGGAGGGGGATGGGAGGCGAGGGGAGGGGGAGGAGGAGGAGGAGGAGGAGGAGGAGGAGGAGGAGGAGGAGGAGGAGGAGGAGGAGGAGGAGGAGGAGGAGGACAACGCCGATGACCTGTCGTGCAGCAGAGGACTGGAGCACGGGCCATCGCATGTACACTGAGCCAAAAGACTTCTCCGTCTCGGGGTGCTTGCCAAGGTTCCTGGGAGGGCCCTTTGGAGTCCTCGTCCAGGTTACACTTGGCCGCCTGGAAAAAAAACTTCTGATAGGAGCCACGCACGGTGCACACCATGGCGCCGTGGGACACCAACACCTGGTGCCATCGCAGCTCGACGATGGCGTCAGGCGGCGGTACTGACGATTCGCTCTGAGCGGAACCCCCATTCGCCAAGCCAGAGGTGCCATCTACTTCGTCAGCCACTGTAGGGCCGCATCAACAGCCTGGGACCTAACACTAGGAGCCTGCTTCAAAACCGTGCCCCTGGACCCCAACAAGCACTGCTGAGGGGTTGGGGCGCAAGGGGAGCTTGGCAGTTTAGCCAAGCTGGCAGGGGTCCTAGCTGCACCCAGGCATCGTTTACATTGCTGCACGCGGCATTCATTGAACACGCGGCTGGTTATGTCATGGGTTGCGAGGCTCAACTTAAAAGGTCCTTTGGAGGAAGGTCTGTACGAACGGGCGGGCCTGTCACTGTCTCCACCGCGATACGCCATCTTCGCCGCCACCCACCCGAAGAACGGGGCCTAGAGCTTGGCGCGCGAGAGCAACGCCTCATGATTCAGGACGAGACACTATGGTAGCGCATGCTCGAGAGTCCACCATTTAGCGAACCAGTCAGCCCACCCGTTGCCAATCTAGAACTCGAAGGGGTGCCTGGAGTCGAGGGCCGTTTCCAATGACATGCGCGCTGGAATCCAATAAAATTCGGCCGGCGGCCGATCTCCCACTTCAGAGAATGAACCACGCCATATATCTGCATATAGGTGGCGTGTCCGTCTGCCTGGTCTTGGTGCCAGGCAACACCTTCATCAACCATCGAACGTCAATCCGTGACCACAAGAGAAACCTTGGGGAGCAGCCTGAGCGCCTGCAGCAGTGGCACGCGTTCCGCACGGCCTACTGTTTGACTAGGACCTGGCAGCGCTCCCCAGGCTCTTCGAATAGGCATGCCGGTGTCTCGTAACTGTCAGGATTCCCATCCACATCTACGACGCTCTGGCCAGCTGGGAGCCATTACAGATCCACCAGAGAACGCAATCGTCGACCATGAATCCCGTCTAAAGTCCCAGTCTCCCCAGAATTCCACAGGCATCTTGCTGGGCACCTTCTGGAGCGCTGGGGGGGCCAACGGCGCGCCGATACACGTCTCAAACTTGTCCCAGTCATTTGGCCCAATCCCTGTGATCCCTTTCTCCCGCAGATACCGATGCATGGGGTCAAGCTTGGGGCCCCAGTAGAAGTCCTCGTCTAACGTGTACTCGTAGAGCCTGGGGCAATCACAGATCTGGTGACCAAGGGTGTCTGGAGGTCCTTGTGGGCACCAGGGGCACGCTGGGGAAATCTGGTAGCCTGCCTGCTGCATCCTGCTGCGCGTCCAGAATCCTCCAGACCATGGAGATCGCAGCGCCCCTGCAAACCTAGGAGCTCGAACTGCTGCCTCAGCTCTGGCAAGGCATCGCCGAATAACGCGCATCCAAATAGCCTCGCCGCCCAAACCAACTTCCTGATGGCGACCGATGATTTTTCTCGACTGCCACCTGTGTATACCCTGTTTAACCAAGCATGCTGCCGATCTGGGTGGTATACTCAGCATGTCTATGCTGTACCGTCGTCAACTATTACCGTACTAGATATCATGCTCAAGCCACCTATCCTAGCTAGCGTCAGCCACAACGCAGATATGGGCCCTCGAGCGTGAGTCCCGGTAGCTTTCTTTGTCATCTGCTCATTCACCGAAGCCCAAGCCCTTTGCAGTCTGCCCAAGGATACCCTCTGATCACAAACAAAGCTGGCATGAGCCTTCACAGGCTCTAAGGTGGCATGGAAAGCAGGGTCGTACATCTCGTCTTTCTGCGTGGCTGACGCTAACGCAAGCGACGTCGAAGAGGCCGACCTGCCACAGATCGCCCCAGCAGTGTGGCGCAGCTTAGCGAGCTCGAGCTCGGACACGCCTGATACTGAGGCACCGTGCGCAGCAGTGAAGAGTAAGCAATGCGCCATAGCGCCGTCACCTGTGCGCATTGAAATGAGAGGAGGCGCCATGACGCCTGGGGAGATATCATGGCCCTCGCCATGATATCCAAACCCCTCTACGTAATCATCACCCTCCTCTTTGCCGCCCCCGACATGAGTCCCATGCCCTGACAGCCGCAGACTTGCTCTTTGCAATGCGCGGTCCCAGAGGTCCCGACCCTTCCCTGGGCCATGGGGCCAGCTTGTCGCCCCAGATACAATTCTCTCCTGGGGCCCGAAAACGGCCCCCGGAGGCTGCAATCGAGGGAGCACATAATACTGATAAGAACAATATTGAAACTAAGAATCGAGGAACCACTGGCATCTCCCATTCCTCCTCCTCCTCCTCTTCCTCCTCCTCCTCCTCCTCCTCCTCCTCTGTATCCATAATTCCCTCCAGACTGACTCCCGTACTCGTCATGGAAAGTACTCTGCCCAAGATTTCTGAGCGGACGCGGCCGTGGCGACGACGGCGCAAGGCCCCGCGGCCCAGATGATGCTCCCAACAACGCCAAACAGCCTTGAGCCGCCGTCGTCCTCTGGGATGCGGATGAGTTCACGAGCGACGAACATATCCACATCCACGCCCTGGCGGTCTCGGTTCTGGGGCGCGATCTCGTGGATACGCTGCCGCATGGATACGTTCCACGCCGGGCATCTGCGAAACAACACCTCGTATCCACGGGGTCGCGGTCCAGGGGCCTGGCTCGCGAGGCCCTGGATACGGATATATGTTGCGCCCATGAGAGCCCTCCAGCCTCCTCCCACCTCATCCTCCTCTTCTCCAGGCGCACGCTAAGATGGATTAGGGATCCATGGATCGGGGAAAGCACACACAGAAACAGGCAATCAATGCCGCCTCATTTGGCGACGTGCCTAGACTCCAGCCTGAGCAGTGCTGTCGACGGCCCTGGGGCGTCGGGGCGGCCACCAGAGCTCGAGAACATCAGAAGGTATCAGTACCCCCTCGTCTTGGGGCGTCCAAGAAGAGGGGCGTCGCAACTGGGAGGTCGCAAATCATGGCCAGAGGGATGTGCCCGAACGAGGGGGGAGGGTGCTGAAGAATAAGCGGGGGCCATGACATCCAGGGAGATGTTATTGAAGGGGCCCCACGACACAAAAATAAATACACACAAATAAAACTATTCCCCATATTTTCATATATGTTGGGGGTTTTCGTCTTCCCCCCAATTCCCATATTTCCCCATATTTTGTTTGGAATCGACGATTAATTCTGCCTGTATGTCATGGCCCTGGCCATGACATCCCCCGCCACACTCCTGACCTCCATGCCCCCCAAAACCCCCTGCCCCGAACTTCTTCTCGGAGCCCCCTTCCTCCATTGAAGGGGCCCCAGGACACACAAATAAATACACACAAATAACAATGTTCCCCATATTTTCTTATATGTTCTCGGTTTTTGTCTTCCCCCCCACTTCCCATAGTTTCCAATATCTTCCTGGCACTCGAAGATTAATTGTGTCTGTGTGTTTTTGTTCCTTCCTGATCCATGCTGCATGCCAATCCTCCGCAGGCGGTGGCAGATCGTGCGGTGACCTCGACATCTCAAGAAACCTCCCCGCACCGTCCATCACCGCATGGCCTGGGGACCTCGGAGACCCCAGCCGCCCGAGACGTCCTGGGGGAACGACGCGAGTCCCAAAACCGTGCGGCCACCTCGGATCTCGACTGACTCACCACACGGTGTGGCCACCGCACCGTTTCTGGAAGCCGCCGGCTGATCCTCCTCCCAACCCCCCCTCAGGGTCAATGTTTGGGGGACAGCTCAGGGAGAGGGGAAAACATCGACCTTGAACGGCGGTACATCGCCGATACATCGGCGATAAGACCTCCGACAACGACTACGGTCCCGGGCGGGGTGGGCTATCGGGTTCCTGAGCATCTGGGGGCGGATGCATCCCCCCCAAGCTTATCCAGGCTAATCCCCCCTTAGCGTTGGCCCTCACCTTCCGCTCCACGGCTTTTGGTCCGAAGGGGCGCAGCTGATGGAAACTGCCCTGGGTTTCAGAACTTTTCGAACATCCCCCAAAACTTCCGAACGCCCAAAGGGCGATTGTGATGAGGCATGGAGGACAGAGTGGAGAGCATCATTTATCGTCGAACGATGGCTGTGGCTGAGCAGAATGGAACCCCCCGAGCCTACCACCCTCCTTGGCTTTTGGGTCATAACTCGGATCTCTGGCAGCCGTTCGGGGCAATCAAACACCCCCAGAACGCTCTTGGCGAAGCACAGCCGCTGGAAGGCACCCTGAGGCTGGAAAACCGCCGAGAACATGCGAGAACGGCAGAAAACCTCGAACCTCGAACCCTAAACGTCCCCCCGCCTGAGCCAATCCCCCCCCAAACGGTGCCCCTGGCATTGCTCCTGACCAATGCCCCTATGCAGGCGACAACGACGACGATGAAGACGACGACGACGACGAACGACGACGACGACGACGATCGACGACGATCGACGACGATCGACGAACGACGACGACGACGACGACGACGATCGACGACGATCGACGACGATCGACGACGACGACGCCGAGCGACGACGACGACGACGACGGGCGACGATCGACGACGACGACGACGCCGAGCGACGACAACGACGACGCCGACGATCGACGACGACGACGACGATGACCAGCAAATAACCCCTAAACTCGGGTCGGGCGAAAGGGGGGGATAGCAAAGGGGGGGTTTGAGAATCAGCTCACGTAGCTGATTTTCCCGGCGCCTCCCGGCGCCGGGAGGCGGCTATGTATCGAGGAATGGGCCCCTCGGTGGGGCCGAAACCAGCTGCATGCAGCAAATTTTTTACCCCCCCCTTTCCCAATCCCCCCCTTTCGCCCGACCCGATAAACGTGGCCCCCGCCTCCCGGAGGCCGTCCATTTCCGCCGTCCGGCGCGAGGCCCGCTGCTCGTACGACGGGGCCTTCCCCACGCACCTCTCCCGGACCTCGGCGGGCGGCGCGGGGCATCCAGGCCGAGCGACACCACCACCCAAGGGCTCCCAACTTCGCGCTTCGCGCTGCGCGAAGCGCGAAATGCGAATAACTTCGCGCTCTCGCGCCGCCTTCCAGGGGAGAAGAGGAGGACGAGGAGGAATCGGAGCCGAACCGCGAAGCGCGAAGCGCGAATAACTTCGCGCCCTCGAGGGCGCCCTTGCCACCTGACTACCTACCAGACCACCCCAACGCGACCCGAAGACCCGAATTTCGGGTTGGGGGGCGTACGGGCTTCATGTGTGTTTCTCACCGTTCCCCTTTCCCCCCCTCACTAGAAGTGGAGGGCACATTGGGGCCTTCGGGTGTGAATCAAAGCAGAGCGACACCACCACCATCGCGAGGCGCCAGGATAAGACGAAGCCAAGACGAGGACAAAATCGGATCGGGAAGAAATCGGGAATCTCTGAGATCTGGCTGCTCTGGAGGATATCTCGAGGGCCGCGGCCTGTTCAGAGCGTTCCGGAACGCTCTGAGAGCGTTCCGGATTTACCCTCGTCCTAGCCCCGTCCGACAGGAGCTGTTTTCAAGCATGATCATTATTATTGTTATTATCATTCGTATTCTTACTACTGTGATGATTATTATTAGTATTATTATCATCATCATTATTATTATTATTTTTAGTATTATTAGTATTATTAGTATGATTGTTATTATTGTTATTATTGTTATTACTATTAGTGTTATGATTATTAGTAGTAGTAGTATTATTATTATCGTCATTATTATTATTCGAGACACGGCCCGATACTCGTCCCGCCCACCCCCCATCTCCCTGGCAACGTCATGATTGGCGCCGGCGCCGTCCGGGAATTAGCAATTCCTAAGCAGTCTGAGACGGCGCCGCAGCGAATACGTGACGTCACCGTTCCCGCCCCCCCCCCCCCAGTAACGCCCATCATCGCCAGGGGTGGAGAACATAAGCTCTGGGGAGGGTGCTCCGGGTGGTGTGCTTCCCCCTCTCGCTCGAGACGGCCCCTGACCCCCCAGCTCGGAGAGGGATCGTGGACCCCCTCGCTGAAAGTGGTCCCCAAGGTCTGGTTCTTCGGGGATGGACAGAACCCCCTTCAGTAAAACGTGGTTTAGTGAAAACGACCTCGGGCCCAAACCTGGCGGGCGCAAGCCTGGTAATTGACGGCCTCAACGCCCTCTCGAGAACCGAAAACGGACAATTCACTAATCGACGTGACACTGTTGGGGGTTCTGTCCACCCCCGATACCTACCAGACCACCCCAACCCGACCCGAAGACCCGAATTTCGGGTTGGGGGGCGTACGGGCTTCATGTGTGTGTTTCTCACTGTTCCCCTTTCCCCCCGAGTTCTGCGCCTCGGACCCGTGACGATGCTGGCTCCGAGGCCCGACCGAGGCTGGAGTATAAACGTCAGGACCCAGAGGCTCTCAAAGCGAGGAGAGACGCCCAGACTGAGGAAGCGGAGGAGGAGGAGGAGGAGGAGGAGGAGGAGGAGGAGGAGGGGGAGGAGGAGGAGGAGGAGGGGGAGGAGGAGGAGGAGGAGGGGGAGGAGGAGGGGGGGGGAGGGAGGAGGAGGAGGAGGAGGAGGAGGAGGAGGAGGAGGAGGAGGAGGGGGAGGAGGAGGGAGGAGGGGAGGAGGGAGGGGGGGGGAGGGAGGGGGGGAGGGGGAGAGGGAGGAGGGGGGAGATCTCGGAGCACTGCCCGTGGAAGCGAAGGAGGGGGGGCCCAGCGGCGGAGACCGGAACGCGACACGACGACGCAGACGACGAACGACGCAGACGACGAGCAACGGCTGACGCACAACGGACAACGGACGACGGCGAGCTACGACGACGACGATAATGAAGGGGCCCAAGGACACACAAATAAATACACACAAATAAAAATATCCCCCATATTTTCCCATATTTTCTGGGTTTCTGTCTTCCCCACCACTGCCCATATTTTTGCATATTTTCCTGGGGGTCGACGATTAATTGTGTCTGTGTGTTTTTTCCCCTCCTGAGCTACGACGACGACGATAACAACGGATGACGACGGACGACGACGGCGGACGACGGCGGACGGCGGGCGACGACGACGGACGACGACGGACAGACGACGGAACAGACGCCGGACAGATCGTCGGGGACTTGAGAGCACAGGGCCCCCCGCGCCGTCTGCGGGGAGGGGAAGAGGCCTTCTTGTAGTACTCCAGCACGGCGGAGAGCTCCTGCTCCCCGGCGCCGCGCGCCTCGGAGAGGCGGTCGACGTCCGCGTCGGCCGCTCGGAACTGGAGGCGAGGCAGGCCGGCGGAGGGCGGGGAAGACAGGATGCCGAAGGACAGGCTCTGCACGGAGGACACGGGGGGCAGCTGAAACGACGCGAAGATCGGGACAAAATCGGATCGGGATAACTCGAAATCTATGAGAATCGGCGGGTTTGGAGGATGTGTTGGGCGCCGCGGCCGCTCCAGAGCGTTCCGGAACGCTCTGGGAGCGCTCCGGAACGCTCTGGAGCGATTTATCCCGATCCTAGCCCTGTTTCACGGGGGCGGGGCGCCTTGGCAGCGAGTCTGGAAAGGGAGGCGGGGCGGCGCGGCAAAGAGGACGGTGCGCAGGAGGGCACGCGATTGTGAGGAAAGCGCAGAGGGCAGCGGGCCAGGATGCGAGGCAGCGAGGCGCAAGGGTCTGGTGCGGTGAGGGCACTGGGCCAGCAGCCGTTGGGCACGAGATCCAGGGTCTGGAAGCCCGTGGAACACCCAGTAGAGCTTGGCTGTGAACACCACTACCACCCTCATCAGGCAAGCCACTCGCCCGGGGGCTGAAGCCTCCTGGGCACATTCACCGATGCCAACACCGCATACCATGTGCCTCCGTTGGTTGCGCACGACCGGCCCGAACGTGCACTACAACAACAACAACAACAACAACAACAACAACACCAACACCAACACCAACACCAACACCAACACCAACACCAACACCAACACCAACACCAACAACAACAACAACAACAACAATTACTAGCACGTGGGGACACTCCGTTCTCACCAGTGCCAGGGTTTTCATAGGAGGCGGGCAATACCCCCACTTTGTGGGGGGGCCGGTTCAAGCTCTACCAAATTTCCAAACGACTCTTCGCCACCACCCACACCCAGCTTCCCGCCCTATGACGTTCGGACACTTCACTTCGTGGCATGCGGACGACCGTGGCTACTATTCAGGGCCCCGCGGCCGACGACGACGGCGTGCGCGCGCGAAGAAAAAACGAATGTGTCCCGCATGGTATTATTTGACAGGGATGATGGCCCTGGCAGGTGCGCAACCGTTGTTGCAGAAGTTCGAAAAAGTTGCTCGCAAAAGCCCGTTTGACAGAAATGTTTAAAAAGTGTTGGGTTTCCTACGAATCCGCAAGAGCGCGCGGGATGAAATTTTGACATTTTTTTTTTGAAAAACCATTGGTTTTTTGATGTTTTTATGTTAAAATCGCTACGAAAACTAAGGTTTTGGAAGGATTTCGTCTTGCGCGCGCGAATGTCCACTTTACCTTATTTTTTGCAAGGGATTCTTGAAGTTTGGTTATGTTAGAACAAGAAATGTCCACTTTAGCTTATTTTTTGCAAGGGAAAACGGGGGACAACAAAACAACCGGATCCGGACACCCACGTTTTGCCTGAGACTTCCTCACGAAAATTATGAAAATGTGGCTGCGGCCTAGGCGCGGCGAGGGGGCCGCGCACCAGGGGTCCCAACAATAATTATTCTTTAGAATAAATAATGTTCAACAACAACAACAGCAACAACAACAACAACAACAACGCCACCACCACCAACAACAGCAAACAACAAGCACGGCACACCGCTGCCCAAGCGGTAGCGGTACGGTCAGAAAGCGCCCGCCGCGGCGCGGATGCTGTGGAATGCCGGAGCGCGCGCTCAGGAGCCTGCTGGGCCGACGCACGCCTCGCGGGAGAAAGCCCGGGCGGTGCCGAGCGCAGGGCGGGGCGCGAGGCCCGCGCGAGGAGGAGGAGCATCCCGGAGAGGTGCTCGCCGCTCTCGGGCCCGTGGGGCCCATCCACGGGCCGCGGGACTGCCCAAGATCCGCTCAGGATGAGGGGCAAGCCCCGGGTCGCGCGGAAGGGGAGTGGGAACTGGTGGAGGAGGAGGAGGAGGAGGAGGAGTAGGAGGAGGAGGAGGAGGAGGAGGAGGAGGAGGAGGGGGGGAGGAGGAGGAGGAGGAGGAGGGGGAGGAGGAGGAGGAGGGGGAGGAGGGGGAGGAGGAGGAGGAGGAGGAGGAGGAGGAGGAGGGGGGGAGGAGGAGGAGGACGAGCAAGCCCCGGGGTCGCGCGGGAGGGGAGTGGGAGCTGGTGGGTGGCCAGTCGTCCTGGCACGTCCTCGTGCCGCCGCTCCGTCGCCGCCGCCAGTCGGCGGCTTTGGACAGGAGGATCGCGGGGGGCGCGAGGGAGGGGGGGGGGGCGGGGAGCGACAGCGGAGGAAAAGAGGAGGGAGGGGGAAGACGGCGGGAGGTGAGGAGGGCGGGATCTACTTCTGGACCTGGCCTCGGGCAAGGAAGGAGCACCCGCTCGGCTCAGCGGATGGACCGAGTCGGGATGGGGGGAGGAAGGGGTGAGGACAAGGACATGCAGAGCCCCGAGACCCCAGGACGTCAATCCCACCAGCCCTCTGGGCGTAGGTGGTCTAGAGCAGATCCTCTTCCACCCCTCCCTCTTCCCCCTTGGGGAGGGGTTTACCCCTCCCCCTACCCCCTCCCCTGGACCTGGACGGGGGGGGCCGCGGGTAGTTAGAGCGTCCAAGATGGCCCAAGACGGCTCCAAGAGCGCCTCAGAGAACCCAAGATGAGCTCCAAGATGGCTCAAGATAGCGCAAGATCGCTCACGATGGCTCCTAAGATGGTTCCAAGAAGCCCAAAGACGGCCCCAAGATAACTCCAAGTGGCCAAACAGCTCCCCAAGGAGGCCCCGAAGAGGCCAAAATCGTCCCAAAACCTAAGGAAAATCAATGATTTTTGCTTTCTCGCCTTTTCGCTTCCGATGGCATCCGAGGCCTGGAGATGGCTCCAAGATGGCCCAAGAGGGCCCCAAGAGAGCCCCAAAAGAGCCCCAAGACGGCCCCAAGAGCGCCCAAGAGCACTCCAAGAGCGTTCCAAGAGGGGTCCAAGAGGCGATTTTAGGGGCTTCCGAGGGGGGACGCTAATTAAACCCCCCCTCTTGTTTGATCGACTCCCTCCAAGATGGCCCCAAAAGCGCCCCGAAGGCTCCCCAGAGCGCCTCAAGAGGGTCCCAAGAGGCGCCCAAGATGCCCCAAGGCGCCCAAAAAGCCCTCCAAGAGGCCCTCAAAAGACCCCCAAGAAGCTCCTTCCCCTCCTCCTCCTCCTCCTCCGATTCTTCCTCCTTCTCCGTCCTCCTCCTCCTCCTCCTCCTCCTCCTCTTCCCCCTCCTCCTCCTCCTCCTCCTCCGACGACGACGACGACGACGACGACTCCTCTTCCATCCTCCCCCTCTCGGGGTCTGTGACAGCTTCCCCCGCCCTTTGTTATTCTGCATGCTCCCCGACTTCCCTGATCACCTCAACTCCCCTGAGCATCGTTTCTGGATGGGCTGGTGGGGATACGCGAAGCGTCAACAATTGATTCTTGGGGGGAGAGTCGCGCTCTGTATGGCAGAGCCATCGGAACCCGAGACACCCAGGGCAACCTGGAGGCAAGCATGGTGTTTCATGGGCGACCGCTGCAGAACAACAGAGAACTGCATACAAACTTCTGGAGTTCCGCACGGATGCCTCCGCTCTGCCGCCAGACCCCCCTCCCCGGCGCGCGGGTCGGCGCGCGAGGGTCGGCGCGCCGGAGGCGCGGAGGCGAGCAGAGTGTGTTCTTGGCATGTGCTTCCACTGTATAGGGCGACGAGAACTTATGCCGTCCCTGCTCGCGTTCGTCTGTCTTGGGGTCGTCTCTGCGGCGGCCGCGCCAGGAGGCCACGCTGGGAGGCCGCGCTCGGAGGCCACGCTGGGGGGCCTCACCGGGGGGCCACGCTGGGAGGCCACGCTGGGAGGCCACGCTGGAAGCCCCCGCTGGGGGGCCATGCTGGCACGCTTGGAGGGGTTACCGAAGAGTCTAGGGCTCCCAACTTCGCGCTTCGCGCTGCGCGAAGCGCGAAGCGCGAATAACTTCGCGCTCTCGCGCCGCCCTCCCAAAGGGAGAATAGGAGGACGAGGAGGAGGGGGAGAAGGAACGAGGACCGCGAAGCGCGAATAACTTCGCGCCCTCCTGGGAGCCCTTGAGAGTGGCGGTGTGTTCGTAGCGGTTTCCGTTCAAATCCCGCTAGCAGCGAGCGCGCCGTGGCTTCTACGAGCGCCGCCAGGCACCCACTCTCTGATCCGCAGCTGCGGAGGATTATATCCACTGCTCCCTGGCCACGCCCAACCTTACCCGGCAGCGGTCTATACGCCACGCCGTCCTGGCTTGGCCAGGAAGGCGTATACACAGCTGCTGGCTTCAGGACGAGCCTGGCCGGGGAGCAGTGGATGGGTTTAGTTCTCGTCGCCCTACTGTAAGCATCCGGAGGGCCGCGCGGCTTGCTCTGGTCGGCGCTGCACCCTGGGTCCCCTGGGAGCGCGACGCGCGGCAGGGGCGGCGCCGCAGGCACGTGAAGACGAGGTCTGGCGTAGACCCAACGCAGATCCGCGGGCATGAGAGAACATGTTTTTGTTGGAGAAGCGGCTGGTGGCAGGGAAGGAAGACGATGAAGATGCAAGCATGGACGAAGATGAGAAAGGACAGGGCCAAGCAGACCCGCAACAAGCCCAAGAAATTACCACATCAGTGGGCACCGCGATATTTCCAACCGCGCGGCCTTCGGCTCATCTCGCCACCGTGCCACGGTGGCGGGATGGACTCGAGGTCGTTGGATCCGCCGACCCATGTCAACAGGGACGCCGAGCATGCTGGACCAGAGGAGGCAGTCGGTTTGGCTCCGACCCCAAACCCCCACATACCAGAAAGCGCGACAGAAAAGAGTCGCGGGCGGAAAACACATCCGCATCCAGAGCCTCGCGGGCCAAGCCCCTGGGCCGCGACCCCGTGGATACGGGACGTCGTTCCGCAAATGCCCCGCGTGGAACGTATCCATGCGACCGCGTATCCACGAGATCGCGCCCCAGAATCGAGACCGCGAGGGCGTGCATACGGATCTGTTCGTCGCTCGTGAGGGAGATCGCCAAGAGCAATGAGGGAGTCCCCAAACAAATACACAGGGGCACGAGAAGCTCCAAGATGCCGTTCCAAGGGCTCCCAATCAGACCCGCTTTTCGCCCACTGGGGCGGCGGCGACTGACCGAAGGTGACTTCGATTGATAAAATCACTGCTACGCTACCAGTGCAAGTTAGGTGTGCATGCATAGAAGGAGAAAACAGGCAACGAGGGAGAGAAAGAGAGAGAGAGAGAGAGAGAAAGGGGGAGAGAGAGAGAGAGAGAGAGGGAGAGAGAGAAACGAGCAACATTTCTCGCAACGGTTGTGGCTCGCCCTCTCTTTCTGACAATGGACAGGGGGCCGCTCCCCCTCGCTCGCCGACGGTCGGCCTGACGCTGCTGCTCAGGACACCCCGCCTCCTCCTCCGCCCCTCCTTCCGCTCCTCCTGCTCCCCGCCCCCGCGCCCACCCCGCCGCCCTCGTTGTGTTCCTATCTCTCGCTCGTCCTTTCCCTTTCTCTGTTTCTCCTTCTCCATATCTGTTCTGCTTCTCCCTACATATATATATATACAAATATAGATATGTGTATGTATCCTCCCTGTCGCACCCTCACTATGTATGTTCTTGCAATATGACTGGTGAAAAGGCTTCAATGGCGTGGCAATTGATTTCGAAACGTCGCTCTTGTCATAGCGCAGCATGCATTCGTTTTGAATGTGCGCATCTCGCGCTAGCGACGCCGATGTTCGTCTCAAAAGTTCGCAGCAGCTTCAAGGTAGGAGGGTGCTTACTTTTCGACATGCAGTTCTCGCTTCAGATCCGCGCACAAAGGTCTTGCACACTTGCAGCAATGTCGTTGATCGAGGGCGGCGTCTTTCATATATTGGGCTCTCGCCGCAGCGCCTCGCACATTCGTGGTAAAATATTGTACGCGGTGCAAGGCTGTGTCTAGCGGGGGGGATGTCTTCAATTGAGAGAAGACCAGAAACTTGAGCATGCAACAGCTGCGCTGATGAAGGGCGGCTTCTCGTCAGAACTGGGCATTCGCCTGAGGCTTCTTTTGAAGACACGAAATTTGAGAACGTGGTACAGGTGAACGGGTGGAGCACGATCGCTTTTCGAAAGCATTCGCATCGAACCCTTGTTGAATTGCATGACCATGCCTTCGCGCGTTCCTGATTATCTGCAGGAACGATAAACGGCGATCGTCCCGTTTCGAGACAGGGCCTTCGTCTGAATAGCAGGCCGATGGGGTGCTGCTCTTTCAGGGGGGGGGGGCTTCTCGACGGGACGGCGGGAAGTCGTGTAGAGACTCATGAGAAGGGGGCTTGGGACGGGAGGGTGCATTGCAGCATCCTTGATGCATCGTGGCTCCTCTCTGCGCATCTCACCGTCGGTCCTTCTCTGTTGCCCTCCCTGCATCCCTCTCCCGCTCCCTCTCCCTCTCTGTCCCCATACTCGCTACCCCTCTCTCTGCCCATCCCCGCCTCTGCTTCATGTTCGTGTTCACTCTCCCTTGTATACCTGTCTACTCGGTGCGGAAGTGCGACTGCATCGGAATCATGCGCTCAAAAGCGATGGCAGAAAACATCGGAACGCAGACGGCCTCTTGTGTATTATACACGACGTCCTTGCCCTTCAGGGCAGTGGACACGTCGATCTCTTGTATTCTCTTTTCATACGCCTGTGCGTGGAGGAAGGAACAGCGCAAGTACAACATGCGGGTCGTAAAGTGGGTGATAAGGATACGTCGCACAGCACAGTGCCGCCGAATCGACTCACACAATTGAGTAATCGTGCAAGTCGGTGTAGTTACCTCTCGACCGCACGCAACCCAAGCGACGTGGAAATATCGCACTGCGACGCTGCATAATACCATACTCGGAAAGGCAACACATAACAAGCATCGGCACCCGACTACCCTGCTCCTCTGCACACACACACACACACGAGCATAACGCAAGCATAAACACAATCACGAATCACGGTTATTGCAACACCAACTCACACAACCAACACACATTATATCACGCAACAACACAACACACACAACCAACACACTCAGACACACACACACATATACACACTCGCGACCATATTAAGAGATCATAGCTCGTGCTCGTGCCGTGCGTAACTGGCAATGCGAAGCAGCGCGCCAATCCCCTGGCCGATTGGGCGCACTGGTGGAACAAAATCATCATGTTGCCGCTCCGTGGGGCAGAGGGCGCTGGTTGTCCCGCGCTCGTCGCGTGGTCGTCAACTGGTTGTCCCGTGGCTGTCCCGTGCTGTTGTCCCTGAGGAGATGGAGGCCGTGCTTCAGCACCATGAGCCGTGGGGTCCCACCCCGCCCCACGGTGGACGGCACTGAGGGTGGGACCGAGAGTGACGACAAGCGACAAGCAGAGCTTGCGGGACCAGCGGACCCTGGATGGAGTGGACAAGCCTCCAGCAGCAGTCGACGTCACCGGAAGCTCATGGACACCCTGATGGACCGCCTCGTGACCCTGGAGAAGGCCTCATCTTGCAGAGATCAGTCAGTGGCCACTCGTTTCCAGATGCTCGTGAGACTGGTCTCCCCATTGCCAGTCTAACGTGTGATTTCGAATGAGAGCGATGACCTGTAGATGACGAAGAGTGGAGGTCTTCGTGCTGAATGGACTCTCGGGTAGGATTTCTTCAATAGGCTGGTCGATATGAATGCACACGTCTTATCTCGTTGTCGCTTGGCGGGACTCGATATCATATGTTGTCTATCACCCGTATTGCATGTGGTTTCCTGGATATTGGCTTGTCGGTATGTGGCTTCCTGGCACTGTGTATTGCATCGTGGATGTGCATTATACCTATGCGCGTCGTCATTGTGCCCGTGAGTTTCGGCCAGCATTTCATCCTCTTCACGGCGGTGCGGGAGCGTGGTTTCTCGCACGTTCCCGCACCTTGTCGTCGACTACGGCTGAGTAGTGCACTTCGACAAGTTCTCTGAGGCATGGAAGTGGCTGTCAAAAATCAGCGAAGTATATATAGAAGGGCTCAAGAGCCTTGCGCAATGGGCTCGAATGTATTCATGTATGAAGAAAGGCAAGGGGAACTTCCATACGGCCGGCTGTTCATCCTAAGCGGCTTTGTTGCCGGCCCAGGGTCCCCAAAATAGCATCATCGCCATATATCAAAACTATTCCTCGGACCTTTCCTGGGGATGTGCTCTGACCAAGTACGTCGTGGCGGACCTGGTCGTTGCGACGAGGGAGCCCCGAAAGGCCCAAAAGGGCCCCAAGGTACAATGCGCCCACTAAAACGGATGCTCTCGCCGCGATCCATCCCCCTCCTCCTCCGCCTCCTCCTCCTCGTTCGATTCCCCTTCCATTGTCCTGCCATGCGAGAAGGGGTCCTGAAAGACATGGACGCCCGAATGACACTGGAGCTATCCCCCAGGGAGGGCTCTTCATCCCGTGCTGGTTTGCGAAAACGACAGGCCCCCAGCAGGACGAAAACGGCGAGAAACTCAGAACAGCTCAGGACCTCATCTTCATTCGGCGGCGAGCGAGGGGGGAAGAGAGAAGCAGAAGGCCTGCTCAGAAGGCTCGGGAGTCCCCCAGCCTTCTGAGAAGCTTCCCAGACCTTCCCCAAAGGCACAGGCAGCTCCTCGGAAGGCGCGAGGGCTTCTGAGGAGTGCCGCCGCCTTCTGA